TCGGGTGGTCAGGCTCACTGACTTGGTGGACACATGTCATCGTATCCCAGTTGCGTAGATCAACAAGATTGTCTGGTACAGACTCAATTATTTGCAGATCGCTGTCATACAGCTGGAATATTGCTGAGTGTGGCATTAAACAACAAATTTCAAAACAGTCTCCTCCAAAACTCCCGACAATAGTTACATTTTCACTGCTGAGGCCAAAGCTATCTTCACGGTTTTGGCCTATATTAAACAGCAGAACCATTCCAAAAACTTCATCATGTTTTCAGATTCACTTCCTTGCCTTCAGGCACTTCAAAATGTCTCTTCGAGTCACCCTATCATCCTGGACATTTCAGAACTTCATAGCGATCTTTCTACTGGCCAATGTGACATTGTCCTCTGCTGGTAACCAGGTAACGTCGGCATTGCAGACACACAAAAGCAGATGCTGCAGCTAAAAAAGCTCTTGACAAACCCATATCTCCACTGCTGATCTCATACAGTGATTTCAAGCCCACTATCGAAAGTTATACTCAGGACCTCATGCAAAAACATGTTTGGACATTCAGGTAGGAAGAAATAAACTTCAGGAACTGAAAGCAACAATCGGTTGCACCTGCTTGGGATGTCAGTCAAGACGTGAAGAGGTCATTTTTCGACGATGGCGTATTTGCCACAGTATCTGCTCAAACCGGATGGCGATGACAAAAGTGTGTCTCTTGTGATGGCGTGTCCGTGATCAAGCATATTATGCTTGAATGTGTTGACTTTACAACTGTGGGGGAACTCACATTATGAAGCAATTGATCTCAAAGATCTTTTTTCCCGCGTGAGTGGACATCTCATTGTGTGCGTCTTGAGAGAGACCGATCTGTATCATAAATTGTAACTGTAAAGTGTGAGACAGATTGCTATGGGTTTTTCTCATTGTGGATAATAGTGTGATAAGTGCTATATACCCGCCAAAACATTTGACATAGTCATAACTAGTAGACGTATTCATGAAGAGTTTTTGCCATTGCAGGGGGTATGGATGACGTCGTCTTCTTATCACACTTACCCGTGAAGATCCGGGTTAGAATTAACCTGAACAGCAATCCATGCTTGTCGTAAGAGGCGACTAACGGGATCGGGTGGCCAGGCTCACTGACTTGGTTGACATATGTCATTGTATCCCAATTACGTAGATCGATGCTAATGATTGCGTTAAACAACAAATAACCAATATTTAGTATTGACTACCACAGTGTGTAGCCACCAAATTGATGCCATCAGTCCAGCTAGGGAAACATGCGAGAAGCATAAATACTAGAATACTGATGATACATCAATATATGCTATAATAGATGATCATATTACAGCAGCCGCAATAATAAACAATGATTTGGCAAAAATTTCAGACTGGGCCAGAATGGCAGGTAAGTTTTAATCCTAGTAAGACTGAGAATATAACATTCACTCGTAAAATGAAAAATTATGCCAGGCCGAACTTACTAATGAATGGCGAAACTATTAAAGAAGTTGATAACCATAAACACTTAGGTATAACACTTCAAAGCGATTGTTCTTGGAAAGTTCATATAGGTGACATCGTAAAGAAAATTAGTCCAATGATCAACTGTCTGAGAAGTTTGAAATATCGTTTATGTCGGAAAACGCTTAATACTTTATATAACTCCTTTATCTTACCACTTTTTGATTACTGCTGTCATATATGGGATAATTGTACGATTGAACAGGCGATTTTACTGGAAAATTTACACTTAGACGCATTAAGAACTATATGCGGTGCGGTTCGTGGCACCAGTCATGATAAAATATACAAGGAAACCAATTATAGCACACTGAAACAAAAACGATATCGCTCTAAACTTATAACTTTCTATAAAATGTATCATCGTCTGACTCCGGATTATCTGAATGATCTTGTACCAGGTAGAGTATTTCAACAAAGCAACTATAATCTTACAGATAGTACTTCCATTCAAAGTACTTACTGTAGAACGCAAAGATACTCTCAATCATTTTTACCTAGCGCGATTATGTCGTGGAATTCATTGCCAGGTGGAGCTGTTAACGCTATTTCCGTGAGGCAGTTTAAAACCATGATAAATCCAACAGAAACTCACAACTACTTTGATTTAAATTTTGGGACTAGATTTTGTCAAATCATCCATTGTCGCCTCAAGCTCGGCTGTAGTGATCTAAACGCAGACAGATATCATCGACATATATCGGACACATCTAAGTGTTCATGTGGTCATTATAACGAAGACGTCATTCACTACCTTTTTACATGTCGGAACTATCAAAATTTAAGAACAACTGTGTATTTTTATATTCAAGGATACGATGTGAAAACTACCTTATACGGTAACGGCGCATTGGATAACTCAACAAATTGTGACATTCTCAACTCATTACACCAGTTCATTTCTAAAAGTAAGCGCTTCCAGTGATTATCACCTCTACATATACATGTATATTCAATACAAGACAAGAGTTATATAACTTGGTTTTCTGCGGCAGCTCTTTTCGTTGCTAGGCACAACCAACACCATAACCAAATGTTTATTATTCAATCATTTTTCTGAGTGTAAATTTGTCTCAGTATTATTCTTTTCTTGTCGGACTATTTCAATGATGTATCCAGCTATATTGGAACCTTGTACTGGAGCGGCGTTTATATAAGCCACTAGGCTTGTTCGCCTATCCAGGTTTCTGCATTGATGTTTAAACCATAAATACTCGGAATTCCCCACGTTCTCTATGATGGAAGTAGTCTACCCTCAGTTGTTGGCAATCCATAGCCTGGTTTTAATATTGTATTGCTCTCTTTAAAAATATCATTTTATGATAACATGCTAGTTTTACTTTAATATCTGTGATACACTGGTAGCTTTACTGTTCTTCCTCAACAGGCTTTTAACTTCTACCTTTTTTGTTCACTAATGCAATAATTAATTGTTCTCGTCACGGTGTGGCTGCAATATTGCCGACGTCACGATAGATATTAACTCACTCACTCACTCCTGTGCACTGTCACAATTCATCGTTATATTCTTCATATTTGTATATTTTTCTGTATGTATGTATTTTGTATATATTTGCCACAGATTACACTTTCATTTTGAAGAGTTGTAATATTGAAACGTCACTTCATGTTATGGCTCCAGATGATGTAACGCGACCCCAAAGATAGTGAAGAAGAAGAAGAAGAAATATAGTTTATTAATGTGTCACATGCTGCAGAACATTAAAAAGGACGGTACATTATTGCAAGAATTTAAAAACAGCATCCGGCCATAAGGCCTATGAGACACAAATGTCACAGTTGTATAAAACATTAGTAATAAAATCACACCCACACATACACACACGCAGGCCGAACTGTATGCACCAACACAAAACGCATACACCTTCACACACCCACACGCACGCACACATACACATACACACACACACACACACGAGCGCACGAGCTTACAGACAGACAGACCCACATACATGCGCACGCACGCACACACACACTTACACTTTCTTACCTAAAATGCATAAATTACATAAATAACAAACATGTTGACCTTATTATTATAAGTACATTGTAGAGTCACCTATTCCACAGAAATATTCCGGCGCCTAAACATAGTATGGACGAGGTCGGCAAGGGGCTTTACGAACTGGTTATTTGTAAGTAAGAATACTACTGCTGACATAGATGGGAATGTGGGATGGACACTGGTTATTTCCTTCCAAAGATTATATCTGAGATCTGAATAGTAATCACAGTTAACCAGAAAATGTAATTCATCTTCAGCGGCATTGCTGATACAGCGAGTACACACCCTTTCATGAAGGGGAGACTTCGGTCGAGAATATCTACCCAATTCTACCTCTAATGGCAAAGTGCCACAACGGAATTTGCTCAAGATACTACGTTGTGACCTAGGTAGAATTGTTTCAACATAATGTTCAACTTGTAAAATCTTTAAAAAGACGATAAGTACGTAATTTATTTCCGTTGTCCTGCCCTTTATCATTCCAGAGTCCAGAAAACCAATCAAAACTGTCTAGCGCCGTAAGGTGTTCTTTAGCCGCAACAAACTCCTCATGTGAAATACTAAACAGATCATTTATAGGTAAATGAAAACTAATTAATAATTTATGAGTTCCGCTATACCAAGATCTCCTCCAATTAAATGACCATCTGCCAATAACGCTGGGTATTCTGCTAAATTCAAGTAACTGAAGTTTACGCCAAAGACGAAGAACCTCAATTTTGTGTTTGGTATACTGAGAAACCCAGCCCATTTCGCCACGAACTGCTCAATTTGGAGTTTTTCTAGCGACGGCTAAGAAGAATCCGGCTGCCCGATTTTGAACTGCATTGATACAGCTATACTGCCGTGTTCCCCAAATAGCGGCTCCATATGAAAGAATGGGCTGAACAAGATTATCATATAACTTATTATAAACTTTATAATCCATACCGCCAACTGCCTTAACCTTACAAAAAAATCACACCCAAAGCTCTATTAGCAGACTTAGCTATTTCCTTAGCAGTAACATTTAAATCAAGATTCTCATGCAGCCACAGACCCAAATACTTGTAAGCACAACAGTAGGTAATGACCTCACCACCCAATGAAAATACAAACTCTGAGCGTTTAACAGAACAAGGACGGTAATGTACAACTTTAGTCTTATTGATATTAACCAAGATCCTCCAACGTGAACACCATCCAGCAACACAGTCGGCCTGTCCTCATATCGCCTACATCACCGTTTCGCCTACAGTCTTATCAAAACAACTTTATGCACCATTGCACACCATTTCCTGCCTATGTTACCCATGGAATAATGGACCAGCCTAAGGGATAAGAAAAACAAACAAATGTATGTGATTCACATTACTTTAATACATTAATAACTTTGATTTTAAATTAAAATAAATAAAGCACTTCATTGTCATCAGGAGCACACAGAGTTATGAGTTTGATTGAATTGAGTTCTCAGTTTAGCTTGAGGATGTGGCCAACAGCATCAAGGAACTGCATCACAGACTTCACACCGGTGGAAAGCTGCACCTTGAGTCTCTCGATCCTCTGATCTCGATCACGGTCTACACGTGCTCGTGGTCTCCTTGCTCCTCCAAGTCCAAACTGTCGTCTTGTGCGCCTGTCTGCCTTCTCGATCTTCTTGAGCTCCTTTACGAATTGGTAGATGTTGGGGTGTGATCGGGGTATGCGTTTCTTCAAGCCAGAGTGGAATCCCTCAAGATGGTTGTTTGAGCGCGGGCCTGTGTTTTCGTGCTGGTTCCAGATGTGTGCTGGGAACTTGGCATCATCTTCAACCCAGGTGCTGGTGACGTAGTCGTTGAAGGCTGCTACTCTGTCGCCGTCGGGAGACTGCTCGATGACTTCAAACCAAGCATCTTGGACCTGGTTCAGGGGAAGGAGTGGCAAAGCAGCTGCTCGTCGAACGTGGGCTTGGACTGCTGGGTTGTTCATGTAGTCTGGGGAACTGTCGGGGAAGACTTCACTAATAGCACTGATAACTGCTGCTTCATAGTCGATCTGGAATATTTCTGGTGAAAGTTCGATGCCAAGTCGTCTCACAACAATATCCTTCAGCAAAGTGAAAAGCCTAACATACGTCCGCTTGGTCTTGTTGGGAAGCAACGCAAAAGCGACAGGAAACATTTTACCATTCACCAGACAATGAATGATGTACACTTGTAGCCACAGGTTAGGACACACAAAGAATGTACCATCCATAAAGAGAATGTCAGCGTCGCTCAATAATTCCAGCATCTTGGTTGTAGCAAACAGCAAAGTCTGTCATCTTCACCGTCGTCTACACAGAGGAACTCTCGGCCATCATCGGTCTGGGTCCATATTCCTTCTAGAGTGACGCCAGCCCTGCTCTCAGGCAGTGGTGGGATGGACTTGGCTCTGTGTCTGTACAGTGCGGCCTGAATATTAGAGTACGTGGGTGCAGTTGCGGCATCATCTTCATCAAGGAGGTCGAGCTCGTTGTTGTAGATCTGCAGCACCAGTGAGATGTCAGTCTTTACACGCTCTTTTACACGGGCGACGAGTCGGATGTGTTCTCCATTCTCAAAGGGTGGGTGGCTGTGAATAGTGGAGGACACTCGTGGTCTCCGATGGTGCTGCTGCGACCATTGCATCCTGTGAGGACACACTTCCAGTGTGTAGCAACCTGTCGCTTGACATTGAGCCTGTACCGGTAGCCTGCATACAGTAACTGCTGTCCACCTCTCTGTGAAGTCACGAACTCAGCTCTCTGGAGATTTGCCATTTTGATACCGACTAAAGATCAGTGGCATGTATATATACTTTGAGAAAATTATGTTGAGATGACCCCTCATTGCAACCACAACAGACCTAATTATAATCTTTTTACTTTTATAAGATAAATCTTTTGAAGTATTAATTCTAATCAAAACAATGGGATTATCTCACCCAGGGGGTAAGCATAACCCCCCTTCACTAATATCCTTCACTGTATACTTAAAACAAATCATGTATCAATAGTAACTTCTCAATAGTCTTCTCTCCCATTTAGTTGCATTCGATGAAACTACAGTGGAATAGGGCCATTCCATTCCCTGAACAGGGTAGATGGGATTTGACAGGATGTTTATATAAGCTGTAGGCGAAATAGTGGTGTAGGCGATATGAGGTCAAACCACACAGTCTAGCATACGCTGTAAGGACTGCTCATCAGGTGCTATCAAAGCAACGTCATCAGCATAAAACAATGAACTCGACACATCTCCATCAATATTTATACCACAATGTAAACTGTCTATTTCACTGGCTAGATCATTAATATAAACTGAAAAGAGTGTCGGCGACAAAACACAACCTTGTCGTACACCCGAGTTTACATCAAACACTTCAGTGAAGCTATCATTAATACGAACTCGTGACAAAGTGCCCTCGTACATCGACTGGACTGCATGGAGAAACTTACCATTAATACCCAATTTCAACAATTTATACCATAAACAATTACGATTAACCTTATCAAAAGCTTTCATGGCATCAATAAAACAAACAAACGTAGATTGTTTAGATAACTTTCTGTTATTAACAATGGAGAAGAGGCTATATAAATGTTCATGTGTACTGCGCGAAGAACGGAATCCATTTTGGACTTCAGCCAATAAACCATTAGCTTCTAGCCACTTGCTAAGGCGCATATTTAAAATGTCTGAATACATTTTGCAAGGCACACATAACAGCGAAATGCCTCTATATCCCAAAGGATCACGTGCATCACCGTCCGTTTTCTTGATTGGATAGATGATGCTGTTTTGCCAGAGTTCGGGACACACACCATTTTCAAAACAAAAGGTCATCAAGGTAAAAAGAAGTTGTATGCACGTAATATTTTTAAGAGACTCAGCTGGGAGCAGGTCAATACCAGCAGACTTTCCACGTTTAGCGCGTGCCACCGCGCACTCGACTTCTTGGAAACTGATCGTCGAATTGAGAACAGTTGTGTCATACGTTACATCACATGTCACATGACCATTGTTGATTTCATCCCGGATGTTTTGATAGTGAATGTCATCGTGATTCGGCGATGGTGAGTCAGCAAAAAGAGAGGAATAGTCTTGTTTCCATTTGTCCAGAACAACTGTTTTATCCGTACAAAGATTGCCATTTAGCTCCACCTCCCAGGGAATCACAGTAGTCCTGTCGTTGGCGATACCAAGTTTACCGATCTTTCTCCAAAAACTCCGGGAATCATTGTCATTACACTTATCTAGTAGTTTCTGTTGTTCAGATAACTGATGTGCACGCTTATGTTTTCGTAATAGTTTGTCAAAAGATTTTCTCTCCACAACATACAATTCCCTGAGGTATTTACGCCTTCTGGTACATTTACAAGATAAAAAGTTCTTCTCACACTCACATGCCTTATCCCATTGAAGCTGCAGCTCCTCGCACCAGTATGGTTTATACTTGGACTTGGAGCTAGATCGAGTAAACGCTTTAGGTTTCGCAACCTTGTCCAGTTCTGAGTACATGAAATTTAAAAAATCCCTGTAAGGATCATCGATGTTTCTTGCTGTGGCAAGTTTTGTTTCAATATTTCTAATTACAGAGTTTATCCTTCCCAATAGTTCATTTTCCTGCAGAACTGGTTGGAAATCGTATTGGCGTTGTACCGGTCAGACTTGTTACTCGAGATAACGTCACATTTATCCTTGCTGGGAGGAACGAACGAACGAAATTTGAAGTTTTACGTCGGCTTTTAGCGTGGCCAATGTCGCCGACGGGGTAGGTGGGGTTGATATATAAATTAATTAATAATGTAGTAATAGGGATAAACCACCATACCCAAAAAAATGTAAATTATGGGAGATTAAACTTAGGTAGTTTTAGAATAAAAGTAGTTAAAAATATAATATAAATAAAATAAAAAGCCGAAATTATAAAGAGAGACAGAAAAATAAAGCAGTTGTTAATAATAAGAGGAGTTGGAATAGATGTAGGATAGTTAAAATAGGTGGGGGGGGAGGTGAGTATAGAGTAAGTGTAAAGCATGTTGGGGGATATGTTATGGTGGTACAGTTAAGCTATACTTATTTTAATAATATGGGACCTAGTAAAGAAAGAAAAAGGGTTGTAACGGGTGGGGGTGGGGGTGGGGGTGAGGAGGCGATAAGGCAAAGGCCGTGTGGGTGGTGATGGGTCTGTTGGCGAGCTGGCTTGGATTGAGGGTCGTGACCTTTGTACACGAGGGCTGGAGCTAGGTTTGTTTACGTATTAGTGGTTGCTGATTGGCTGGGAGAGGCGCGGACCTTTTAGCAGAAATAAGACAACTGTAAATAGATGATTTGTTTTCCCAGGTCTAAATGAGCAGGCTTATGTTGGTGATAGAGTTTAAGTATAGAGAAGTGAAATTTGGGTGCCTGGTCTAAATATATAGGCTATTGAGAGGTAGTATGATGAGGATTGTTTGGGAGGTTCTAAATTTTATTTATTAAATTTGAGTTTTGGATAAAGGTGGCTATGGCATGGAATACATTTGACGGGTTAAAAGGATTTAAAAGTAGCTGTATGTTGTTGTGATATTTAGTTGGAATGCTGGTGTGTAGTTGTGTGATGTTTGTTTGTTGGAGGTGGCAGTTTGTGAATATGTGTTCAATGGTTTCAGGTTGATTGCAATGAGTACATAATCCATCTGGGTGTCTGTTTTGTTTGAATAATGGATGATTTAAGTTTGTGATGCCAGTGATTAATCTTGTAATGAGTGTGTCCATGTGTTTGTTGCTTGAGTAGGTGAGTGTTTTGGTGATAGGTTTAGTTATGATTGCTTTGACCCAGGTGGATTTGTTTGTGTTGAGGTTGTGTTGGTAGTTTTGGTTGATTATGTGGTGTTTGATGAGTTGTTTTATTTCGGTTTTGGATGTATGTAATTGAATGGGTGGAGAGTTTTGTGTAGTGGCTAGTTTGGCTGCTATGTCTGCTGTGTTATTTCCTTGGTTGTGTGTGTGAGCTGGAATCCACATTAGTGTTATGTTTTATTTAGTTGTTGGAGTGAGTCGGTTTGTATAATTATGTTGTGTATTAAGTCGTTTCGTGCTTTTGAGTGCTTGTGTTGAAGTTGTTTGACGGCGCTGAGAGAGTCTGTAAGTAATAGGATGTTGGTGTGGGGCATAGTGGGGATGAGGTGAAGTGCTGATAAGATTGCTGTGAGTTCTGCTGTGTTAATGTTTGTGTGGTTTGTATAGTGGAGGTTTGTTGTTAGGGGTGTTTGGTTTACATGGATGCCTATGCCTATGCGTTTGTTTGTGCCGATTGAGGCGTCTGTATAAATCTGGGTATGGTTGGGATAATTTAGGTTGATGTGGGTTTGGATGAGGTTTGTTTTGGTTTGAGTGTCTGTGGGTTTAGGGAGATTTTGGAGTGTTTCTACTAGGGTGATATCTGTAGGGGGTGGGGGTTTGTCATGAATGTAGCTTGTTATGGGAGGTGTGTGTTGGATGGTGTTTAGGTGGTGTGAGTGAAGCAGACTGTTGAGGTGAGTGAGTAGGGGGGCTTTGTTTGGGTTGTTTTTAAATTTTTTGATAGTGGATTTTTTAATGTTTGTGTATTTAGTTGTGATGAGTTTGTAGATTGGGTTGTGTTGGGCCCCAGCCCAGTAATTGAGTGCGGTTTGATTTATTCGTGTTTTGATTGAAGGGATGCCTGTGAGTAGGAGAAGAGTGTTGTGGGAGGTACCAGTCCTAGTGCCTAGGGCTTGTTTAAGGGCTTTATACTGTATTGAGTTTAATTTTTGGAGGTTGGTTGGGGATATAGAGTGGAGGACCGGAGCAGCATAGTCCAGTCTAGACTGTATCAGAGTTTTGTATATACCAATAAGTGTTTGTTTGTCGGCTCCCCAGTTTGTGCCGCTGATGGCTCGCATGAGATTTAGATCTTTTTGACATGAGTTGACCAAGTTATTAATATGGGGTGTCCATGTCATGTGTTGGTCGAAAGTTACACCTAAGAATTTTGCCTCTTTTTCGAACTTGATTTCTTGGTTGTTGAGATGAAGTTTGGGTGTATAATTTTGCATTCTTTGTTTTTTGAATATGATGCCCACGGTTTTTTTAACGTTAATGTGGAACCCCCATTTCTGGGCCCAGTTTTGGATGTGGTTTAGCATTCTTTGAGTT